AAATTGATACGAATGCTGCGAACACCTTTATGAATGAAATTTCAAAAGTCTACATCGATCCCACGTCTGCAAAAAAATGTATTCAAGGTAAAAGGTCACATAAATTGATTTTTCTCATTTTTCAGCTAAATGCTACGGTTTATTATAAAAATAGGTGAGACGAAAATGTAGATCATATAAGTGTCTATATAAACTGTTATAACATGTTTCTTCCTAAGGCCATTTCTCCGATATAGCGATTCAAAATTGTAGTAAAATGTGTGTTCTCCATAATATGCAAATCATACATTTGTATAGAAACTTTTTGTATGTATCTCTACTTAAGTGCTCATAACTTTTATATTTATGTATTATTCAATTTAGATGAGCAGGGCCTTACTGTATTTATGAAAGATCATGTTTTGACATGCAACAATCCAAAAGTAAACAGGCTTTTCATATTGATATTTTTACGGAAAGTAACTCTTTAAATTTTTTTTTTTTCTTAGTTATGCAAAATTGTCGATGCATCAATGATTAGATCCTAAATTACCAATTCGCTGGGAAAATATAACAGAACTACAATAAGTCGTGTAAGTAAGCCTACGTGTTTTCCACGCCCTCATAAATGGACATTTTATAACATCTTTTATAGATAATTGCATAGTCTACACTGTTGTCTCACCTGTTTTTGTGATAAACTTTACCGTTTTGCTGAAAAATGCAAAAAATAAATCTATGTGACCTTTGACCTTGAATCATTTTTTTGTTTGCAGACGTAAGATCGTTCGGTACTTTTGACACTTCATTTATAACGGTATTTGAAGAAAGATGCTTTAACCTTTTTCACGGCGAAGAAAGAGGAATCAACTTATTTTCGCGGTCAACTATGTTTGGAGTGTACAGTATACGATTTGAATCCATTTTGTTGAATCCATGTTTACGCGTTTTTCTTCGCCGAAGTTTTTTCAAGCGTCTTTTTTCATATTATATTTTCACCGTCAAAACACCCGCGCATCTTTTTTCGTGTCTAGTGACGATATTATTATTATTATGATTATTAATTCGGAGATACTCGCGCTGCCACCTGCGTAGATATATTGTGCTAAATCCTAATTGTAATCACTCCAACCTTAGGCTAAAAAGCTCAGCTCCTTGGATGATGCTTTGTTCCAAATCATGCTTCGTGGGCAGGCACATAGAATATAATCTAGAGTTTCCACAAAACCTACAGTCCGTCTCTACAGAAACACCAATTTGAATGTACGTTAACTTGCAGTATGCTGTCAGGTAGCCAGTAAAATTTCTAAGTTCAAGGGGTCTATAGGAGTTCCTCCTGGAATCTCTTTGATTGTCGTATTCCCTTTGACATCCGCCATTGGGCAGAAATCTAAGAGATTATTCCCAGCTAGCTCCTAAGTAGGTCTGCAGTGTATCCTTTAGATGTACCACAGAATAACTCGGGACCATGCAAGCGCATTTGGTCTCC